CCCCCCCCCCCCTCCCTACCCTGGCCTTCTTACCTCTCCCTTCCTCCTCTTCTTACCCCACGCCACCCCCTCCCCCCCCCCCCCACCTACGCCCTCCCCTTACCCAAGAGGTAGCTAGAGTTACCCTGGCCACAGTGCCACGCGCGACAGGATAAAAACGGGGTTAGGGGGGTGGTGGTGGTGGGGATGGAGGAGGAGGAGGTGGAGGTGGAGGTGGAGGTGGAGGTGGAGGGGTAGGGGGAGAGGAGGAGGAAGATGGGGAGGTGGAGGAGGAGGTGGTAGAGGTGGAAGAGGGAGGTGGAGGTGAAGGAGTAGGAGATGAAGAAGAAGAAAGAAGAAGAAGAACAGGGAGGAAAGGAATAAAGAGACAGAGAAAGGGAGGGAGGTAGAATCTCTCTATTTCTCCCCCCAAGCCCCCCCTCCATTCCTCCTGCCACCCCCCACCACGCATTCACTTTCGAAGACGGCGATATGTCCTCGCAGTAACCCCTACCCCCTACCCCCCCCCCACACGCCGCGCGGGAAAAAAATACTTGAGAGGCATTTTCCTCCATTATCTTGTTTCTTGGTATGTGTTTCTTCATTATGATCTTGCTAAATTTTTGTGTATTTGGTTTGCGTTTCATCTCTCTCTATATATATTTTGGTTATTTAAGGGTTTTTATTTCTTAATCTTCCTCCTTCCTCTCTCTCTCTCTCCTCCCTCTCCCTCTCCCTCTCCCTCTCCTCTCCGTCTCCCTCTCCCTCTCCCTCTCCGTCTCCCTCTCGCTCTCTCTCTTTCGCAAATCTCCAGAAATAGATTACACTTCTTTATCACGTTTTAAGCCCGTCATTTTTCTTCGTTTTTTCATGCCCCCTTTTCCCCTTATTTTTTTCGGTTTGGTTGTGTTTGTGGGGGGAATGAGGGGAAGGGAGAAGGGGGGAGGGGGGAGGGGGGGGAAGGGGCGATGTTGTTTGTCATTTTCGGAGCGACACGTGTAGCATCTTCAGGGGGATAGGGGGGGGGGGAGGCGATGAGGGGAGGAAGGAGGGAGAGGATGGCTGGGTAGGATGGGGGGGGGAGGAGGGGTTAGGAGGAGGATGGGGGTAGGATTGGTTGGGGGGAGGGGAGGGAGGGGAGAAGTCGGCTCAGGGGGGCTAAGGGACAGGGGGAAGGGCAGGAGGGGCATCGGGGCAGGATTGGTGGAGGGCGAGAGGTATGTAGGAGGGAAGGAGAGATGGGGGAGAGTGGGGTGGGTGTTGGTGGGGGTGGGGGGGTCTAATCTCCAGGAGACATTCCTACGACAGCCAGTTAAGGAATTGGGGGGCTTGGGTAGGACAGGGAGGTTGGGGGGGGGGGTGTTGGAGGTTAAAGGGGAGAAGGAGGGGGGAAGAGAATTAGGATAAGAATAAGAAGGAAAAGAATGGAAATTGAGCTTGAAGTCAATTTGGTTGAATAAGAATAAGAATGAGAAGGAAAAGAATGAAATTTGATGTGGGAGTTAATTGGGTTGAATAAGAATAAGAAGTTACGAAGTGGAAAGAAAAGAGAAGGGAAGAATAGGAAAACGAAGAATGAAAAAAGAATGAAAAAAGGAAATATAAATGAAAAAGGGGAAAAAGCAATGAATAAAGGAAAAAAGAAAATGAACAAAGAAAAAATACAATGAAAAAATAAAAAAGACAGTGAATAAAAGGAAAAAGACAATGAAAAAAGGAAAAAAGACAATGGAAAAAAGGTAAAACGAAAACAAATCCAAAGAGATAAAAACAGCCATCCGGAAAAGTCAGAGCTGGAAGGGCGAGAGGCCGTGGCACCACAAAAGGGTGCCAAAAAGCTTATGTATGAATGGCACCACCAGCCGAAAAGGACAAACCGAGAGAGCTCGCTTGGCTTGGCACTCCGGGGTCACTGGGAAAGAGCTTGGCACTCGCGGGGGTCGTTACTAGGATGAGGCACGCACACACGCACGTACACGCACAGTCACGGACACACGCGTTCATCCATACACGCACACATACACAAACACGCGGAGACTCAAGTGTAATCTCAAAGTTGGCACCATCGGGGGGGTTATAGGGGTGGGGTGGTGGGTGGAGGTGTCAGGGGGGTGTTGGTTAGCGAGGAGAGGGGGGGGGTATCGTCGTCGTTGTCTCGTGCCAACTGCCGGGTGCCATTAGGATGCCACGGGGCTGGTGGAATGTGGCACTTGCTTGTTTGTGCCCCGGGTGTGGGCGACAACAGGACCGCGGTGCCAAGGGAGGCCGCTGGCACCGGTGCCAACGCGCTCTCATGAACTCGGGGCTATAGACGAGGGGAGCGGAGGGGGGGGCGGTACTTGCACTCTTGCAATGGCCGAATCGCGTCTGTGAACTGTGCTTCGAAATCGACAGATATTTTGGAAGAAGCAGACAGTCAGACAGGTGAAAATAGACCGGAAGACAGACTAATAAACACGCAGACAGACAGACAGATTGATACGCTCACGGCAGTAATATAATCTTAAATACTAAAATTCCA